CCTACTCGGGCCTTACACTTTAATTTACACCCACAGCCTCTCTGGCTTCTATTTCCATTAAAGGGAGAGCCTGGCATTATGGCTTTAATGAAGGCCGCAGCCAGGCTGTGATTTAGGATGGCCGTTAGCCCACACCTTAACTCTACAGGAGGGAACACACTTAAAGGGACAATTAGGATTTTGCTCTCCTGCATCCTTCCAGATAGCCATACTCATTCTTTCCTTTTGCCTTTTTTTTTAAAGATGTGTCTGTATTGTTTCAGCTGATGGGATCTGAAGGTGCCTGAGGGAGGAGAGTGACAACAGAAGCAAAGCACAGGAACAATGCTGTTACAAATCTAGACAAAAACATTTGATTTAACCTCATCAGCGTTACATTGCGCTCCTGTTGAGAGCAGCCATTCATTGTCCATCATAAATGACACAGATGTCTCCTTGAGGGGTTTTTTCAGAGGTGTTTGTATGCTGACAGATGGAGAAACTATTGACTACAGGGCGTCACAGATTGGTCAGCCTGAAGAGCTAATGGACACCTGTGTGTCATATAGAGATAGCTCGTTATCCTGAGCGTCCCCTGGATGGGACATGGTTTCATGAGTGGAGCAGTTGCACATTAGTGTTTCTTTTCTCCACAGTTTATTTTATTAAACTGGTTAACAGCAGTCCATTTCAGAGCACAACAGAGGTGCTTCTACTGTACGCTGTCATCTGCATATTTGTGTTTGTTCGTGTAACCGCCTGTTTTGCACAAAATACATACAGTAGACTTGTTAAAGCTGTTGGGGGCTGTGTCAGCCATTTGCTTGGACTTGTACGCAAGTTTAGAAGACGCAAATTTACACATGTGCTTGTATGACCGCAGAACACACACGCACTGTATATTGAAACCATCAAACAATAAGCACCGGTCCTCGGAGGAACCCGCAGTGACACTGAACCCAGCCGCCCCCGTGTCCCAACGCAATAGCCCTCTCTCCTCCCACATTCACATCCGCAGCAGCAGCAACAGCAGCAGCAGCAGCAGCAGCAGCACTCCAAAATGAAACTGACTCCCTTTAGACAGCTTCCAAAGACAATGCTTTTATTAAAACCTACAGCAGCGACGCCACCCCAGAGGCACTGGCACACCAACAACAGAGTAGAGCAGAACTAAGAAGCAGCCTGAAATCTACTAATGACTGTTTGTTTGCTTTTGTGTATGGTGTTTGCTACTGTGTATGGAGCCAGTGAATTTATACAGATGTGTTTGCGTGTGTGTGTTCAACTATTTGTGAGTGAGAGAGAAATAGATAGAGAGGACTGTGTTTACATATGTGTGTACATGTAGTGTTACATATGCAGACTGTACGTGTGTGAGCAGAAGAGCATGACTTCACATTGGAAAATTACATTGTGGATGAACATATGCAGCCATTAAGATGGTGTGTGTGTAATCATTAGTGAAACTGCGTGGATGCGTTGTGAATTTTAAAAAGCATGCTTATGTACTTTTTAAAGGAGAGGTAGTATCTGGGTGAGTTTGCCACTGTGAATAAGACCTCCTTCCTAAGGCCTATGTGGAAACTCTGTTTCTGTCACCTAGTCTGGCACATAGTGTAAGCAAGCGCTAGGTTTTCTGCGTGTGTGTGTTTATAAGCAGGGGTGGGGGCTGATTGTAGGATGTGGCTGAGAAGGGCGTCTGATAGTGTTTGGTACTAATGCTTTGTGGCACTCATAGGCTGGCAGAGTTTCAGAGGAGAGTAGAAAAGGACAGGAGCAGCAGGGGAGAGAGAGCGAGTGGGACAGGCACAAAGAAAGAGGGGAACATACAGAAACAAAGGCATAAAAGATAAAGTGGTTTAGATAAGATCACACTGAGACAAAGACAGTAGGGCATATATGGCACTAAATCAAGCCACAGTTAGGAAAAAACTACCATTTCACGTAAATATGAAGAGACCGGTGAACAGTTAGATCTCCTTCGTCTCTTTCCTCTGCTTGTCCTTTTTGCTCTTCTGTTGTTTGTACCTCAGCTCGTCATGAGTAAAAATTTTGTTTATTGCATTACTGACAATTCTTGCCTAGCTCCGATGCTGCTCCCTCTCTGTTGTGCCCTGAGGGACACTGTCCCATGCTGCTTCCACCCAATCAGCAGCCCTGACAAGGACAGCTGTGCCCACCTGGGGCCTTGCGGGTTGGGTGAAAAAGGCCTGCCAGGGAAAA